TAGTAGTAGTAGTAGTAGTTATTGTGGGGGGGGGTCCTTACTATCCTCGTATGAAACGATACCCCAAAATCCTGCCCCGACCATCTTCGCGAAATAAGGATCCGACCAGGGTGCGGTGTAGGCCATGGGGATTGCACCTGATGGAACACCAGGCTCAGAGGTAAGGTATCAAACACAAATTAAGCAAAAAGAAGCTCTCAAATGAAGCCTAGCCCACAGCCTCATATGCCCAAAACGGCTTTGGGTTTTAAATCTTAGGGTTGAGGATGATCCAACAGCCGCGCAGTCGAACTAAGCAGCGCGCCAGGATCGTAGGCCGCATGCACGGGCACCTGACGAAATCCCGGCAAAGCGACCCCTATGCTGAAGTTCAAAGGGATCCTCCTCATGGTTCAGGGGTGTCGTTTAGGGGGTTTAATGTAGGGGGCTTGATAATTAGAATAGGGTTTTGAAGTTTTGGGGGCTCTTTATTATAATTTTAGTACAAAACACCCCCAAACCCTATTCTAATTCTTAAGGCCCCTATATTAGGGTTTAGGGTTTAGGGGCTTAGGGCTTAGGATTGAGAGGGTTTAGGGTCTGGTCTAAGGCTCCAGGAAGTAAGGTTTTTCTGGGATACGGAGCCTAGGATCGGAGGGTAGTAGACGGGCCTTCATAGGAGAGTAGGGCTTTTGGGTACCCAGAGACTCCAATATCCCTGAATTAAGGAATCTACCCTAAATTATAGTAGGATCCCTAATATGATTTAAGGTATATTCCTTAGTTAAGGGGTATTGGAGTCTCTGGGTATATTGCTATCTAAATATGACGAGGAACCTCAAGAAAGAGTATTGGTAGCTAAGGAGGCATTGCAAATGAGGCTGGTGGACAGACTCTCAACGCCGTGGAGGCAGGTTCTCGTGGCGAGGATAGGTAATGTAGTGGCCTTAATAATTCGAATGGGGTTTTGAGCTCCTTTGTAGTATTCATGTAGTAAGGAACCCCCCTAAATAAGTATAGGTAATTATTTAGGCTTCTATAATCTAGTACAGGGAGTCATGGGAAGTCGAGGATCTGAAACCGGAGTAACTGGAGTCTTCAAAGCCGTGCTTAGATGATCAAACCCTAAACCCTAAACCATAAACCCTAAACCCGGAACCCTACACCCTAAACCCTAAACCGACTTAGATGCATCTAGACCCCATCAGTCCCCAAGAGCAGGCGCGCCCCAAGAGCTGCAACCAAAACGGGCTTTTTGATGCTTAATGTAGGGGCCTGAATAATTACCTATACTATTTTGCGGCTTCCTTATTATACTTATAGTACCATATACCCAAAAACCCTATTCTAATTATTAAGGCCCCTATATTATTAGCGCCCTTGAAGGTTTTAGCACTTAGGGCGGGCAAAGCTCTAGGCCTAGGGATGTGATACATCACGTCGAGTCGCTTGAACATGGCCTGGGAGTACATTCTACTAGAATGACATTATCATAGGACATAGGACCTTGCATAGGAACCCTATGGAATAGTGTTCGTAACTGTCATGCCATGGCTTTAGTCGGAACCCCCCATTCTGGTAGTTTTTCCGGCTTCTACGTGACCCTACACCCTGAACCCTGGACCTTCCTGTAACTCCTAAACCCTACACCCCTTTACTAAACCCTCCTCAAAACGCTAAACCCTTAATTAACCCTAAAGCCCTAAAGCCCTAAACCCTAAAGCCCTAAAACCCTAAACCCTAAAGCCCTAAAACCCTAAAACCGTACACCCTAAAGCCCTAAAGCCCTAAAGCCCTAAAACCCTAAAACCCTAAAGCCCTAAAACCCTACTCCCTAAAACCCTAAACCCTAAACCCGAAGAACCCTAAAACCCTAAACCCTAAACCCGAAGAACCCTAAAACCCTACTCCCTAAAACCCTAAACCCTAAACCCGAAGAACCCTAAAGGTCTCGACAGGGAGTCGCCGAGGCCTGGCTCTTGGGAGTCGGCCCACGCCTTGGGCCGGGCGCGAGCTGTGGAAACTCTCGGTTTGGGGTTTAGGGGTTGAGGGTTTAGGGTTTAGGGTTTAGGGTTTAGGGTTTAGGGTTTAGGGTTTAGGGTTTAGGGCTTAGAGTTTAGGGGTTAGGGTTTAGGGATGCTGAGAGCTGTTTGTAGGAGGGCGAAGGGTTCAGGGGGTTTAGGGGGTTTAGGGTTTAAGGTTTAGAGTTTAGGGGGTTTAGGGTTTAAGGTTTAGGCGGTTTAGGGTTTAGGGGGGTTCAGGGTTTAGGGTTTAGGGTTCGGCATGTTCTCTAGAGAGGTTCTGAGGTTGAGGATTTGAGGGTTCAGGCTTCGATGCTTCGGGTTTTCTTGCGGGCCCTTCTCCTCCGTGCTACCGTCGGAATATCGTTTCGCCTCGCATTCGGATTATTTAACCTTCCATGGGTTCTCCCAAGTGTCCATTGGCTCTTCGAAGAGGGCCGGCCCACATGCCCGTCAAAAACTCCTTCTATCCCAGACGACGAATCACGAGGATTTTGAAGGCCCAAACCCTAAACCCTAAACCCCTAAACCCCTAAACCCCCAAACCCTAATCCCTAAACCCTACGCCCCTAAACCCCTAAACCCTAAACCCTAAACCCTAAACAAAGTCCGGCTTTTCAGCTGTTAGAACCGGAACCGCAGCTAGGCCCAAACTTTGGCTTCACGAAGTTCCCTTGCAGGAGGAGTCAGAAGGAGCGGCGGCGACAGCGTCAATCATGATCGAGAGTATGAGGGTTTAGGGTTTAGGGTTTAGGGTTTAGGGTTCTATGGTGAGACATCATCACCGTTACCACATCCTTCTTGCTATCGTTTCCAGACCCAGCCCTAAACCCCCAAAAAGCCTTAAGCCCCATGCCTCCAGTCACAGCCACACCGGGGCTTCGACAACATCGCCTTGATGGCCACGGTCATGTCCTCCGTGTTCATCGGCGGGGCCTGGGTCTGAAGCGCTACAGGAGTAATGCAGGGGCCTTCATAATTAGAATAGGGTTTTGGGGGCTCCTTATTATGAATTTTGGTATACTATACCCCCAAACCTATTCTATTAAGGTCCCATAATTATATTCTTAACAACACACCAATGCCACACCTGCAATGTTGAAGCCGGCGGTCCAAGACAACTCGGCGGGTACCACAGCCTAAACCCGGAGACTGCACACCGCCAGCGCCCACGATGAACGCAAGCCCAGCCACAACGGATTTCGGCGCGCGATTGTCCTTCTTGCGACCTCGGGGGCACGCAGCTAGTTGCGACAGCGAACATCTGTCTTATTGCTGCTGCCATGACTGCTACTATTCCTTAGGAGTCGTCTGCGTCGTAGAAACCGGAAAAGCACTGTATTCCAACTTGCTTTTTCTCACTCTTTTGCCGGGCCACTTGTCACAAGGAATATCAGTGCTGCTGCGCTGTTCTTACTGCTTCATGTCTGCAGTTTGTGATCCAGCATGACTGTTCAGGATCTCGCGGGGCACATGCTTGGCATTATCAGTTGTACTTCTGGTTATATTCAAACCTCATGCCCATGGCAGCTGAATCAAAGCACAGTCCAGTAGGTTCCAAAAACAAGCAAGTGAACGTAGCAACGTCGAAAAGCGAGTTTACTAGCAACTACTGGCGGAGCATTCTTCACAGATACTATCCCTTATGGTCGTTCGTGTTTGCTTCTGCATAACATACCACACACTGCTAGTCTAACTATCGGGGACCTTATATGGGGGTTTCCGAAAATAGGGGACCCGAAAAAAGTACCCCAAAATAAGGTCCCCCTTATTTTCGGAAACCCCTATATCATGCTGACCCTATATCATGCTCAAGTCTGTTCTCCTCCTCTTCTCCGCGGCCTCCAAAGTCCTACTCTGTGGCCGTGCTCGAAGGTTCATGATTAGACCTACCCAGAGACTCCACAACCCCTTAATTAAGGAATATACCTTAAATTATAATAGGATCCCTAATATGATTTAAGGTATATTCCTTAATTAAGGGGTTTTGGAGTCTCTGGGTACCATCTTACGATGAATACTATGAGGCCTAATTATACGATGAATACTATGAGGCCTATGCAGGCACGGTCATTAAGACCGGGACCGCAGTCTGCTACGATCACTATGGCGACTACAGATACCAGCATGCCAATGCTGGTGAAAACACATGCTATCATGAATGCCGCTATCATCCGTTTTGCGAACTCGACTTTATGCTACCTTGACTGAAAGTAACCAGCGTGATGAGCTTGTCAGTGATCACGATGACATAAGGGCATGATGGTGGTAGTGATGGAGATGATAATAGCGATCGTGTTCGTGCTTAACTGCATATGTTCGTGCTTTAACTTTATAAAACTTTGTAAACCGATCGGATCAGCAGTCTCCTTGTTGCCGTAGACTTACATCGCCGTCTCGAATTTTGTTGCTCGGTGACATATGTATCTATTCCTATGGAATGTACTATCGTTCGTTGTTCCTCCCATGCTCCACTACGCCACATGCACCACCCCTGTTCTGGTGACGAGCAGCACTGCCCCCAAACAATTCGTAAAGCCAACCGGGGCGCAGGCCTTTGGGTGCCTCGGGCTCGACAGGGGTAGCTTCCTCCTGGCGCATGTCCGTCGCGGGAACTCGCGCCTATACGCCGACAAACTGTGATTACGACGCACAAAATCGCTTCATTAGCTTCTGTTCACCTGCAATTGCAGACTCCCGTACGCCCATGAGCTCACTGCTGGATAAGCATCCAAACACGAAACGAAAAAAACATGAGTACAAATATCCAGTGCGCATAAACTTATATATATATATATATATGTGTATATATATACACACTTATTTATTTATTTATTTCTGTATTTATATATGTTCACTTATATACTTACTTATTTATTCATATATTTATGTGTGCACACACATAATATGCCTGTCATTTCACGCCAGGGCGGGTTGCTGTCCCCCGACGTGCACAGACGCTCCCCGTCAGCATACGAGCATGTCGCATCATGGTTTCTACTGCTTCTTTCGTTACCTCCCTGCCTCAGTAGGCCGGAAAGGTCTTTGCAAGCCCAGATTCGCACGGTGCGAGCACCACCAAGCGATTACTGACCATATTACTCCTAAGTACTGTCGTCATATTGCTGCTCTTGTTGCGAGCATTGGTATTTCTGGTGATCGGCCTGATATTGTGTTTTTGGTGCTTATAGAGTTACGCTATGCGCACATGCAAAATATGCGTCTTCTTGAGCTCACAAGGGTGCCTCTTTATGCTATGTGAGTATACGAAGGTGCTCGAAATTCTCCTTTGTTGGTTTTACCAAAGATTGACGGGTGTAGGGAAGTCTGGAGGGCTTACTAGAAAACATATAAACCAACCAATGTCAGAAACCTCTCATAGAAGGGCGTGCAACAGCCCAGGCCCCATGGCAGGACCTCTCCTGCGATGTTGCTGGCCACATTTCGAGGATTGCGTGTTCTGTATTGCTACCTTCTGCATCACGATGATCAAGCAACATAGGAGCCAACGAGCAACGGCCATACATGAACTGTAGAGGTAGTAATACCATAGAGCGAACAATCTCCCGCTCTAACACGTGATACTATCACTGTCATTCTTGGTTTGCATTTTCCCTGGCGCCCCCCCCCCCCCCAACATGTTGACCTTGCCACTGTTGTAGGATCATGTAGATTCAAAAGTGTTGAAGGGTATCTGCTCGACTACTACGAGTCTAGAGCATTCCACCTGGCCTGCTTAGCCTTGGCTTTCTTGGCTCGTCGGCGGCTGCGACGGGACTCATTGGGAGCATCCTCTGCGCGATGAAGGCTTTGTAAATTCGGGGGTAGGCTGAGATCCTATAAGCACTGAAAGTCAACCCGAAGAGTTTAGGGTTTAGGGTTTAGGGTTTAGGGTTTAGGGTTTAGATAGACTTGGAACCCAAGAGATGTTTCAACAGAAGGCTTCAGCTAGGAGGTTCATATGGGGGTTTCCGAAAATAGGGGACCCTAATATAGTACAGGATCCTTATTATGAGGACCCCTAAATAAGGTACCCCTAATTTTCGGAAACTCCCATATGCCATTGGTGAGGCATGCAGCTAGCAAGTCATGAAGCTGAGTCTGGCCTCAGGGAACACAATGGCTCTGTGAGATGACCTTTAATTGATTTAGGGTTTAGGGTTCAGGCGTTTAGGGTTTAGGGTTTAGGGTTTAGGGATTTAAAAGTCTTGATTCAAGGGCTTCCCTGCTTCCACTGACCAGGCAGTCTGACAACTAGATGTGCACGCAAATCTGAGATAACATTGCCCGAGATATCGGCTACATCGCCACAGACTGTGGGAATGCATAATGGCGACTGCTGCTCCCAACAACAGCCAGTTTAGGCCTTTAGGCTTGGGAAGCTGTTTCTCAAACTTCGCTTTCCCCAAACCCTCAGCCAGGGCCGTTTTCTGTATCGGAACTCAGCTGGTCCTGACTCTTCTTCATCTCGAACTCCTTCGCAGGCTTGAGCTAAACCAACATATGGGGGTTTCTGAAAATAGGGGACCCTAATATAGTACCCTAAATAATAGGACCCTTATTATGAGGACCCCAAAATACGGTACCCTAATTTTCGGAAACTCCCATATCGTTAACAACTCATTGACATGCTTCCCACGGCAACTGTCGCAGAGCTAGAGGGCGCGCACACATACAGAGTTATCAAACATACAAAACAAAAATACACATATGTACATAGGAACATACATACATACGTACATACATACATACATACATACATACATACATACATACATGTATACATACATACATACATACATACATACATACATACATACAGACAGACGTATATAAATATATCCCTATACATGTGTCTATACATATATATACATATATATATATATATACATACATACATACATACATACATACATACCTACGCATGCATACGCATACATACGCATACATACATACAAACAAACATACATACATACATACATACATACATACATACATACGTACATACATACATACATACATGCATGTATACAAATATACCCATATGCGTGTATAGATATGACATATCTACATAAACACATACATATATGCATATACAGATGTATATCACCTATGTACATGTATGCATATATAAACATGTAAACATACACATACATGTGTGTGTATATGTATGTATACATATATATATATATATATATCTTCGTCTGTATATGTGTGTATGTATGTATGTCTCTATATAGATGTACGTTTATACATAAACACACACTATATGTATGTGTACGTATGTGTATACATGTGTATAAATACTATTAGACATAAACGTATACAGCATATACATATATACGTATATATCTATATACATATATATGCATATACATATACATGGGTTATATATATAGACATATATATATATATATACATATCACACGCATGTACACACACACACGCGTATGTATACATATATATGTATCTATATGTACGTGTGTGTGTGTGTGCAGACATGCATATGTACATATGTGCTTGCATACATAGATACAGGTACACGTGTATATACCTATGTATGTACGTAGTATGTATGTGCGTATGTATCTACATATCACATATGCATGTACGTATGTATGTATGTCTGTATGTATGTGTATATGTATGTGTATCTGTGTTTGTTTGTGTGTACACGGGCGTCTACGTAGTTCTGTATCTATGTATGTTCGTTTGTGTTCATGCATGCATATATATATATATATATGCGTGTGGACATACATGTTGATGCTGAGGATATGCTCAAACACTGAGTGAATACTGACCTATGTAACATTGCATTCTAAGGGTTCCGGAGTTCCCAACTCGCTGAGCCAGAGCTTGTGGGCTTCGCAACACGCCGAGGAAGCTGAACACGCCCCCACCCACGGTTAAGGGTTTAGGGTTTAGGGTTTAGGGTTTGGGGTTTAGGGGCCCCCATGCAGAAGCCACAGAACAGGCGGGCGGGCAAAGATTGAAAGATCCCAGCCTTCTCGAGCTCTTCAAGACTGCGAAGCTTCTTTCCGGGCATTGCCTGACAGAACATGACCGATGTCAACTAAACCCTAAACCCTAAACCCTAAACCCTAAACCCTAAACCCTAAACCCTAAACCCGGATCTGCTGCCGTCTAGATACCCGAACGCAACGGTGCAGTGCATCCTTGGGCGTCGCGCTGCTACTGCAAGGAAACGCCAAACCCTCGCTTCCCGTCAATGTAGGGGCCTTACTAATTAGAATAGGGTTTGGGGTATATTATACTATAGTAAACCCCAAAAAGTTGGAAACCGGATTAAGGACAAATAGTGCTGGGATTCCCTATACATTACTCTTGAGGATTGAGGCTATTGGGTTTCCAACTTTTGGGCTTCTACTGTATAATTATGATAAGGAACCCCCAAACCCTGTCCCAATTATCAAGGCCCCTACATCATGCGAGCCCCGAGCCCCACCGCGGCCTCACTGCTGGAGGCTTTCAAAGCAGAGTGCGGGAGGCGGGAACAGTCAGTCTTCAGCTGCAAGCCCAAGCGGATAGCGTTTAGGGTTTAGGGGTTTAGGGTTTAGGGGTTTAGGGGTTTAGGGGTCGAGGGCTTTCGGGCTTTGTTGTTTTAGGGTTTTAGGGTTTCAGGGTTTAGGGTTTAGGATTTAGGGTTTCAGGCGAACGGCCCCCGTCCCTGCAAGGGTCTAGGCGAACCTGCGTGTTAAAGCCTGGCTACCCTGAACCCTACACCCTACCCTGCACTCCCTGAGCACTCAAGTCTAGCCTCAGCTGCTCACCAACGTGAAACTCAAACTTCAACCCTACATCTCTGAACCCCTGATATCATTGAAACCCGAACTAAAAGCCCCGACTGGCAACATCCAAGAACAGAAAACTTCCAAAGCACCCTAAACCCTAAACCCTAAACCTTCATACTCTTAACCCGAAACACGAAAAATCTCTAAGTCGCTAAGTCTGGAACAAAGAGAGCAGCTCCCACATGCTGGCCCAGAAACACCGAATCACAAGAGAGCATTGAGCCCTAATGTCGGGGCCTTACGAATTTGAATAGGGCTTTTGGGGGCATATTATACTAGAGTTATAATCAGGAACCCCCCCAAAATAGTCTTTTGGGGTATATTATACTAGAATTATAATAAGGAGCCCCCCCCCAAAAAAAATAGTCTTGGCAATTATTTAGGCCCCTCTATTAACCTGAAACATCATCAGGTCAGAACCTGAAAGCCGCAATCGCAGCTTTGCTATCTCCGATGATAGACAGGATGGGTTTTGGGAGCTAGGATTAGGGTTACCATAGACCCTCTCAATAAGGTCCCTTTTAAGAGAGCCAAAAGTAGGTTTCAGAAGGGGTACCCTTTAAGGGGTACCCTAATAATACTACCTAGGTTTTGGTCATAGCGAGGCCACATCATAAAGCCCGAGGAGCCCACCAAAAGTGAGACCCTGCTCGGATTTCTAGGGACTAAGGGATCTGAAAAGCAAAATTACTGGGGACTGTGGCGGGAGGCACAAGTCGGACACCCCAAAATACCTACGGCACTGTGGCGGGAAAGATTGCAATGCAAGTATAGTACCCTAAGTAGTAGGACCCTTATTATAAGGACCCCAAAATAAGGTACCCATTATTTCGGAAACTCCCATGAATTCAGCCTTTCCTGCCGAGGCTGGCCGAGGGCGACTGTAGAACGACCGAGCCTTTTACTGAACACGTGTCCTGCAAGGCAGGAGCTGTGGAACCACCGTGATCGCCTACCGAGAGCGCCTCGTGGAAATTCATCTGATTCCTTTAGACTGAACCCTAAACCCTAAACCCCTGAACCTTAAAGCCTCAGACAAAGTGCTTCCACGCTGAGTGGCGGACGGAAACCGACCCAAAGCCACCGACCCCGCTCCGGCCATGTTGACTCGCGCTGTTTTGCGTGTCACACGGCGGAGTCTCTGTCCGGCCCGTGTAGGTCTCAGTCCTGTCGGGTTTATAGGGTTTAGGGTTTAGGGGACGGTCAGCACTGACACATTGCAAGCATCGGCGTTCATGAACAGGAGGAGGGCGGGGGCAATAAATGCCAAACCCTGGCTTGGAGACTTGCGGGTGTGAATTGCGACTTTCGGCAAGCAAGTGCTGACCTATTTTTTGGAATATGACGACTCTAAACCCAAGTGCTTTTGCTCGCAACTTTATGCACTGATTCATATCGCTGTCCTGGTCGAACGAACAACTGATACCCACACTGGCATGATTGTTTGTTGCTGCTCGTGTCTGTCTTGCTGTTCCTGCCGCTGCTCCTCCTCCTGCTGCTACATTAGCTGTTGTTGCCGGTACTGCTCTTGTTGCTGTTGCCGTTGCTGTTGCCTTGTTGCTGCCGCTGTAGCTGTGGCTCGAGCTTTTTTATTCTGGCTGCTCTTTTGATTGCTGTTTCTTTCTGCTTCTGCTGCATCTGCGGCTGCAACTTGTACTGCTACTTCTGCCATAGAGGTCGAGGCTCATTGCTAGGTGCCAACTTTTTGCAGACTTCAAGCATCCATGACAGAGCATGACTACGATACGATTACTACGCCATTGAGTGCAATCCGAAGCTCATATCTTTCGAACCTGCTTGCCATGTGTCATAAGTCAGAAGTATGCAGGCAAAGACCCAAGCAGATGGCCTCGCAATCGCACGTCATCTCAGCATGGCTTGCCTGCTCGTGGGTCGTGGTTTAGGGTTGAGGGCTTAGGGTTTAGGGGTTTAGGGTTTAGGGTTAAGGGTTTAGGGTTGTGGGTTTTGCTCCTACGCCTACGCCTTCTGCTGCACCCTAAACCCTAAACCACGACGAATTCGACTACTGCTACCACCCGCTTGTACTTACTCTCAGGTCGGGGTGACAAGCTTCCGCTTCCGCTCCCAAACCCACAATATACTACAATATGTTATCATATACTATAATGTACTGTAATATACTATGATATACCATGATATGCTGTAGTATACTATAGTATACTATAATGGACTCTAACATACTGTAGTACACGATCGAGAATATACCAAAATATACAAGAATATACTATGATATACTCTAATATACCGTAATATACCGTGATAGACAACAATATGCTATAGAAAAACACACCTAATATATTGTACCATAATAAACCCTAAACCCTACACCCTAAACCCTAAAGTATACTATAGTATATTGTACTATAATATACTATAAACTCTAAACCCTAAAGTATACTATACTATGCTCTGCTCCCCTGCCGCTCCTCCGATTGCTGCCCCGAGGCCGCCCCACCAGCGCGGAGGTTCCTGGAGATGTCGTAGAAGTCTTGTCGAATGTAGGGTCGGACTGATTTTACGAGGGTTTTGGGGGCTCCTTTGTAGTATGTATATGTATTTTATATATATATATATATATCACTGATTATAAACGTTTGAACGAAGATTAAGGAATACTATTGGTAATTCTTTCGGATTTAGGTTTCTGTATTCATCGCAGAAGCCGCGCCAAAACGGCTTCTCATCCTACTCGGCAGAATCGCTTGCAACCCCAGGCCTGGATTTCACCTCGGTGCTGTCACCGACCTGGCGAGAGGCAGGCGAATGCTGACGGTGAATCTGACATGATGGTCTGCCGGCAGGCTGTCAAAAGCAAAACCGTTTCAATTCTGGTTATGCTAGCCGGGAGTTCATCTGAATTCTGTCTTCCGTCTGCTGCAGCCGACAACAAACTATTGAAACTGTCCGTGAGTCCATGAGTTCTTCTGCGATGCGGCTGATTCCAAACAACTTGTCCTTTTTCGCACCTTCTACGAATACTAGTCCCCAGAGACTCCAAAACCCCTTAATTAAGGAATACACCTTAAATCATATTAGGGATCCTATTATAATTTAAGGTACATTCCTTAATTAAGGGGTTTTGGAGTCTCTGGGTCTACAGGATCGTTAACATCATGTGCAAAGTCTCTTTCACCTCTCGTCGTGGCTCTGGTGTGCCTGCTCGCTGGTCTTTGAGGCAAGCAGGGCCTCAGAAGGAACGTGGACGTCACGGCGCAGGCCCCCGACCCAAACTAATGATCTTCTGGGAGTACTAGTAGGTGATTCACAAGGTTGCTGCTGCAGCAACGACGACTACAGCACCGGCGATGCGACAACATGCTAGCCGCTGAAACACAGCACGCTGTCGTGCTGTCGCAGCCGTCGCTGAGATGCCGACTGCTGCTGGGGCTGCTGGAGCTGCTGGGGTGCCAGGCATGGCGCCCGGCATGGCAGCAGGCATGGCGCCGGGCGCACCACCCGGCATGCCGGGCATGGCACCAGGCACGGCACCGGGCATGACGCCGGGCATGGCGCCGGGCATTGAGGGCATGGCACCCGGCATGGCACCGGGCATGGCTGGCATGGCACCGGGCATTGTGGGCATTGCACCTGGTATTGCACCTGGCATTGCACCTGGCATGGCACCTGGCATGGCACCCGGCATGGCACCTGGCGCACCAGGCATCCCAGCCATGTTTGGCATCCCAGTTCCACCGGGCATCATGCCACCAACACTTGGCATGGATGGAAGGTTCGGGACACCAAAAGGCGGTCCCTGTGGGATATGCATAGGATCAACCTCGGCTGCATACAGTAGTGAGAGGTTCGAAAGGCTTCAATCTTCGTACTTCAGCATGTGGAGCAGAGTAGCACCAGGCGGGAGCCTTCGAGGGTTGAAAGACGGCTGAGAAAACATGATTCGAACAGATCCAAACTGCGACCAAGCAGCCACCGGCTGTAGTGACTTCGGTGCCTCCGTGAGGTTGCAGGGCAGGTGAAGCATGACGGACCCCGTCATCGTCTGCGCGGCAGGCTTCAGGCTTCAGAGAGTGCACCACTAAGCATGAAGTCTAGGGGTCCGATGTTGTCTGCAGCTTAAACATTGGGAAAAGCTGTACAACATAAGAAGGCCAGCGCGCCTTTCTGAATGCCGACGGCGAAGTAAATTGTGAATGTGCTGCTGAGAAGTCTGAATAGGTGAAGATCGCTTCACATGAGAGGGCTTGTAGAAGTGTTTAATTCGGATGCTGCGCTCCCACACCAAATGCCCGCCCTCACATCATGCTAACGCGAGTATGCACACCATATTTTGCAGATTTGGGCAAGTGTGATATCGTTTATGTGCTTACTTGTCTTTTCTTGCGTTGCCGACTAATCTTGCTCTAAGTGTCCTCGGCGAGAATGCTTTTCGGTAACATCGCTGGTAGCTGTAACAGTAACCCAGACCCCCAGGAGGATCCAGAAAGTAGATCCCCCAAGTAGATTCCTATAAAGTGCCCTCTAGAAGTTAGGGTCCCAAATTTAGGTGATGTACTTTTTAGATCCTCCCGGGGGTCTGGGAATGTAAATCCTGACACCAGCGGAAAGCCGAACCCACCTGTTCCAACTGACATGGGGCCAAAGGAGGTGGCGGAGTCGTTGGAGGTGGACCTTAATATAGGGGCCTTAATAATTAGAATCAGGGTTGGGATGGGGGTATTTTGTACTAAAATTATGATAAGGAACCCCTATAAGGCCCCTACATTGCCCGACTTATGGGGGCTAGGAGTTGGGCTCAGGGCTCAAAGGCTCCGGCTCGTACAGTACGCGGCGGAGTTCGTCTGAAAGCACTTTTGTGAGTCTTGAAGTTTAGGGTTCAGGGTTTTGGGTTTAGGGTTTGGGGTTTAGGGTTTAGGGTCCCCTAAACCCTAAAACCCTAAAACCCTGCAGCACACAGAGCCCCGGTTAGGAGCTGTGGCACCTGCGGCTTCGAGCTCGGAGCGTTAAGCTTCGCGGAAGGGCAATCAAAATCAAGGGCGTAGGGTTTAGGGTTTAGGGTTCAGGGTTTAGGGTTCAGGGTTTAGGGTTTAGGGTTTAGGGTTTAGGGTTTAGGGTTTAGGGTTTAGGGCTTTAGGGAAGCGTAGAGTAGCAGAGATACAGGCAT